CTTCTACGACAATCTGCTAACATTGTTTCCTTAAAAGTAGTTAATACCCTTGAGCATTATAAACTGTAATTGTTGCTCCGACGAGGAGGTGGAACCAAAACGAAGAAGACGATTCCTAGCACACCAGATATCCATAACCCATGGCTATACAAACCCGGGGGCGCGTAAGGAGCCGGACACGTGTCAGATTTGTTTCCTTTAATTAAGTTTTTGTTTTGTTTTTTCATATAATGCGCTCATCATCTCTTTGGTAGAGGAGGTGGAACCAAAACGAAGACGATTCCTAGCACACCAGATATCCATAGACCCATGGCTATACAAACCCGGGGCGCGTAGGGAGCCGGACACGTGTCAGGTTTGTTTCCTTTAATTTTTTTTTTTTTTTCATATAATAATGCTCTCATCGTCTCCTTGGTATGCCTGACTCTACACCTTTTCCACCATTCCCATAAGGTCTGGGTAATTGGGCAATGCCACCATATGTGACAAACATCTTCAATCGCTGCAGGAGAGTAGGAAGCGCAGAATCGAGAGAATTACATACCACTTATCCACATGCTTTGTGTTATGCTTCGCGAATTACATACCACTTACCGAAAGGGAACACAAAGCATTTGGATAAGCCACAGAAGTCCTGCATGTGCACGTTTGACTGTTGGGCGGGATCCGACTGATAATCTCACCAAAGTCGTAACAGAGGTCGATCGAAAGCATCTCCAAATTTCCTGTTGCTGAGAAATTAGCCCAGGAACTTGGCAGGAAGCTTTGCCTGTGCAGAAAGCTTTGACTGTTCGATGATGGAGTTCTTGCTCGCTCTATAGACTGAATTCTGTAACCCAGAGATACCAACTAATCGATGATGGGAGTGTGCTGCTTCTCCTTGGTGCCATTCGTCCAGCCAATGGCCAGAGGATGTACCTTTGCCTGCAAGAGTGGAATGCCCTTCAAGCAGACACTCGGCGGCATTGTTTTCATACGCTGCTCCAGCTTGACCAGAATCTGTGTATAGT